CTGCGTTGGTGAACACATCTACATGCTGGAAGGGTGTGCACCCCAGCTTGACGGGGACAGAAGCTCCTGCAGTTGGGACCCTGCCAGACCTTGCCCTGTGCATCTCTTCATCTGGCTGTTCATTTGTATCCTTTGTCACATCACATCCTTTATTTTGTAATAAACTAGTCAATGTAAGTACGTGTTTTCCCCAGTTCTGTGAGCTGTTCTAGCAAATAATCAAATCCAAGGGTAGGAGTGGGGTCATGGGAACCTCTGATTTGTAGCCAAGTTGGGCAGAGGTTGTGGATGACCAGTGGAATTACTACTTGTAATTGGCATCTGAAGTGGGAGGCAGTCTCGTGGGACTGAGCCCTTACCTGTGGGGTCTGTGCTAACTTGGTTGGTATCAGAATTGAATTGAATTGTAGGACACCCAGCTGGTATTGTCGAGAATTGCTTGGTGTGGGAAAACACTCTCCCACATCTGGTGTTGAAAGTTTTGTGAGTGTGGTAGTAGTGTGAGAGTAAAGGAGAAAGACACAAGAACAGGAGAGGTGTGTTTTTTTCCCATACTTAGATGAATTGTAGGGTATGTGAATTATAAATCTCAATAAACCTGTCACAAATAAAATTGTTATAATTTTTTATACTAGGAGGTGTGAAGACAGGTGAGGGTGAACAAAAAATTAATCAAAATTCAGGTAATTGTAAACTTTTGCATAACTGGTCCTTTCATACTATACCTCCACACCTCTAAACTTCCTTCATATACCAAATTTGACTTTTCTATTCCAGTAGACAAATAACTATTTTAAGCTACCTCATGGTACTGCTGTCTGCCAGCGAATAGTTTCATTTTGGCCCTGTTGCCATCTAAATATGGCAATGTGTGTGTAATTACTTGAACATTTTATTGCATATTTGCCCTTATTTATAAAAGTTTAGAGAAAAATGAAAAAATAAAGTGCTGATGTTAATGATTTTATAACTGAGACAAAGGAAGGTATCATTTGGTATGCCAAAACCAGTAAATTTGATGCTTATTGAATTGAAGTGAGTCTGACAACTGTGTTCAATTATAATGGAAAACAACAAAATTTAAAACACATGTGCAAAATGCTGTAACCATGTTGCCAAAGTTTGTGGCTAAAAGGTAAAATGGAGTGGTGGAGCAAATGTATGGATCTTTATAATTAGGTGTAACAGCACCTTATTTTGATACACTGTTTTTTTCTTCCTGATAATTTTTTTTACCCAATGATCCTTCCCCCTTCAAACTAGAGTTCTTGGCAGCCATGCCTTGGGGAAGGGTTGTTGCAACATAATGCAAATACCAAAAAAAAGTCAATCCCTGGCCTTTGAGGTTTGAAATATGTTTTGGAAACTCAAGGCAGAGATAAAACTTCTGTGATAAAAAGCTTTTGAACTTCAAAAGCTGGAACCATCAACAACCCAGGGCATAAACTCATGCCTTAACCACAAACGTATAAATATGTGATCAGTCAAAGCCAGTTTTTCCAATGCTTTTCTTTCAAAGACTAGGTAAAAATTCCCTAGGCTTGCAAGGTGGAGAAAGTCAGAGCAGAAGTGAGTTTAGAGGCTGGTGAATCCCTAGGAAGGAATTCTGTGGCCCGATCTCTAGAGCTTCCACACCTCGTGAGGTGTAGGGGCAATCGAGAAGAAATGGCTGTGTGGCAGGCCCAGGCAGAGAGAGCCTGAGGCAACCTTCCCGCAGACCCAGAGGGCATGGAAGAGTGGGTGCATGTGTCCAACACTCTAGGAGTAGCTGAGAGGCTTTCCTTTTGGGACATGGGATCATGGCGATGATTTCATGGTCTGGCAATTGGAGACCAGATGGGAATAGGATGTTGCAGTAAATGCCAGCATGGACAGAGCATGACAAAGGGTCAGGCAGTATCTCTATCTTCCCATCCTTATTCCTGGGTACTCTCTAAGCCCTTAGAAAGGGAAGGAGCAGGTTTGTGTGTGTGGGTGTTGGGAGTGACTGTTAAATTCACTGAGATTGTCTTGAATTGATAGACTTTTTTTTCCTGCCTTTTCTCCCCAAATCCCCCCAGTATATAGTTGTATATTTTAGTTGTAGGTCCTTCTAGTTTTGGTATGTGGGACACCGCCTCAACATGGCCTAACGAGTGGTGCCAGGATCCAAACTGGCGAAGTCCTGGGCTGCTGGAGCAGAGTGGCGAACTTAACCACTTGGCCACGGGGCTGGCCCCAGAGGGAATGTTTTTGCCATCTGGCAGATGAGGAGTTCAAAAGAGAACTTACTGAGAAAAAAAAAGTCACACTTCTTGTACAGGCGAGTTTGGGGCCTCAGATAAGCACTTGTTCTAAATAGGTTGTGAATCAGCATCAGCTAACACTTCACAGAGGGAAGTTCACAGTCCACCAAGCTGTTGACAGTGATATAGCTTGTTGCAGGCTCCTTTATCAAGGGAGAAAGATGATCACTGTTTAAATTTTCTCTTTACAAATTTTTAAAGAGCGTTGAAAAGAGTTTCACACTTACACAATCTCCTCTATTATTTACATAATTACCAATAGCAGATCTTTATATCCAACACTGAAATTAATTTTCTCTTTTCAAAATATCATTTTAAATAAATTGAATGAATAAAGATTTTTGAGTTGCCAAGTTACACCAGAAACTTAAATTTGATTGTCAGTATTTGTATAAATATTCATGTATACAGTATATAACATTCAGATATAAAACCAAATTAAGCATTTATATCATATTTGAGACTTTATAATTCTTTCTATGTCTCCGAATTTTATCCCATCCCTTCCTCTTTTATTTCCAAATAAATAAAACATGTAACTATAAAGTTCAAATTTTAGGCATTCTACTTTCCAAAACATTTTCCAGGAAAGCGTTTCCAGGAGAGGAAGGGATTTTCTGGACAGGAAAATAACTTTCCTACCCACTCCCGATGCTAGAATATCTAAATAAAAATGATCAAGCCACTGGAGCTTCCAATAGTTTATCTATTTTTATGGTGGCCTTTGGCCTACCCAGCTGGAGCACGAATTAGAAATGGATAAATTTCTTGGAGTCAGTTCATCTACTGCCTTGGGGCAAAGGCATGGTATTGTGGAAATAGCACTGGATTGTGAGTGTAAATATCTAGGTTTGGTTTTGGTTCTTTGTCATCTCTGTGGTCTTCATCTTTGTCTCTAGATATATTTGAAAACATTTAAAAACTTTATTAAAACCATGTATTTGAAAATGTTATTAAATTGCAAAATATACATGCAAAAGTGAATAAAACCTATATTATTTAAAGAATATTGCTAAAATAAACACCTATGTCTGCACCATTTACCTTACAAATAGAACTTTCCAAGTATCTTTAATGTGCTTATAACCCAACTGGGGATCATGTTAAAATGCAGATTGTGATTCAGTAGGTTTCGGGAAGAGTCTGAGATTCTGGATTTCTTACCAGCTCCCAGGTGACACAGAGGTTGGTGATCCGGAGATCACGCATTGAGTAGCATGCTCTAAGAAGGCTCCTGCATGCCTCTCCCTAATTTCATCTCTTTCTCCCCCACAAGAGGTAAGCATTATCCCAAATTTTGCATCAACCACTCCTTGCCTTATTTTAAATAGCTTTACCATCTGTGAATGCTTTTCTAAATATTAAAATTGTTTGGTTTTGCCTGTTTGTAAACTTTATAAGAGTGGAATAATATTGTGTGCATTCTTCTGTTACTTCCTTCCTTACTTAACCTTATGTTTTAGAGACACATTCGTGCTGATGAGCAGATCTGTAGTTCATTTATTTTTGCTGCTGTTTAGTTTCTATAGTATGAATGTGCTCAATTTTATCGATCCATTCCTACTGTTGACAAACATTTGTGTTGCTTCCACTTTTTTTGCGATGACAATGCTGCTGTAAGTATTTCCGGTATATGTTTCATAAAGCAAATGTGCAAGAATTTCTCTAGATTATATGCCTACTCATAGAACTGCTGGATCAGAGTGTATATGCATGTTCAAATTTTTAATTTGATGCCAAATTGTTGTCAAAAATGGTTAGTCCAATTTTACACACAGCCATCACTAGCATTTAGATTGTCTGATTTTTAATTTTTGCTATTTTGGAGGGTGTAAAGTGCCTCTTGGGATTTTAGTTTTCATTTCTCTAATTGCCAATGAGCTTTTCAAATGTTTATTGGAAAACCAAGTCCTGCATGTCTTCTTTTTAGCTCTGAGAACTTGGATGAGTTGCTTAACTTGGATATTATTTTCTTCATCCGTAAAAGGAGGACTACCGCATACACCTCACAAGATATTGACCTTTAGAGGGAAAGACTTGCCACTGTCAAAATGACATTGACTTTGCTTACTTTTAGATATCGCTTGGACCAGTATTGCTGTTGGGGACAGGCCACTGGGGGCTGCATCTCCAAATGATGCAGTGATCGATGGAGAGATGATGGGAGCATTCAGATAGGCAGCCTGGGAGAAAGCAGAGGGCTGTATCAGCTGGTAAAAAATACCAAAAAACCCCAAACCAAAACCCTAAAGAAAGTTCATTGTTCTAGTTAAGGTAACTCTAACAGCTTCAATAAACAAATCCCAAATTTCCGGGGCTTAACAAAATAGCGTTTATTTCTTAGTCTTGTCTTCCCAGTTAGGAGGCGGCTTTTCTCCGTCTTTTTAGGAAACCGGGCTCCTTCCTCATGGCTCTACTGTGCCCTAGGACCATGGAGTACCCTGCTTCCACGTATCAGCAGAGGAAATAGAGAGTCAGGAGAGCCTAACACCCACCCACTTCTTAAAGTCTATGCCTTGAAATGAAATCTCCCGGGGCCGGCCCCATGGTGAGAGGTTAAGTTCATGCGCTCTGCTTCAGGGGCCCAGGGTTTCGCCAGTTCGGATCCTGGGTGCAGACATGGCACCGCTCATCAAGCCATGCTGAGGCAGCATCCCACATGCCACAACTAGAGGGACCTACAACTAAAAATACACAACTATGTACTGGAGGGCTTTGGGAGAAAAAGGAAAAATAAAATCTTTAAAAAAAAAAAAGACATGAAATCTTCCTCTGATCACCTTCCTTTGGCTAGACCTAGTCCCATGGCCACTTGGGGGACCTCATTCAATTACTGATTTTTAGAATAAAGTATCAAAACTAAACATGATCATTAAAAAAGTTTTGGAAAACTTTTGAGAAAAATAGAAAAACATTTTTCCCATTGTGCTATCACTCTAATACGATGGTCACATTTTTATGTTCTTCCCAGTATTTTTGCCATCATTTTTGTTACATTGTTGCAATCACAGAAATATAGGTTTTATTGGTTACATCATAACCCTTCTAGGGAATAAACCATTTAATCCTATTCCTCCTTTGAACATTTAGGTTGTTTCCAATTTTTTGTTTTCAAAAATGATGCTGTGATAAACCTGTTTGTATAGTAAGGTTTTCTATATTTAGACTTGTTTCCTTAAGATAGATCTGAAAAAACCCTTTTTAGTGATTCAAAAATCTCAGAGTGACACTGACTGAGTCCAGGTTAGGACTTTGCATTAGTTTAACAGCATGTCTTCCTCTCCAGTGTGCAACCCTGAATGAGGTCAAGTTCAGCTTCTTCATTTGTGTGATTCTCTAAAACACATATACTCACTGTATTACATGAATTTTTAAAGATGCTCAGGCCAAATATAAATTCTTTTTGAATCAATCTCATTAAGCACAGTATCTTATATAGTGCTATAACTGCCCAAATCACACGCACACACACCCTCTTGAGAATTATGAGACGTGTACAAACATCTGGCTAGAAGAAAACAGATGTATGAGGAAAAGTCTCTCTTGAATCTGAGGTTTTATTTGACGGGACAGCTCAGCAAAATGCAGTAGCAATAAAAAGTAAAGACACTTTCACCTGGTCATCTTTCTTTTTGGAACGGGAAGAAAGAACTGAGCCACTTGTAGCCCACCCCCACTTCACTAAATCAGTGGCAAAACAGGAATGATTGTACTGCCCCTGGTCTGATATTTTTGGAAGTTATGATGAGCTGCCAATAACTTGTGGCTGTGGTGTAATTGAAAGATCCCTGGGTTTGGTGTGGAAGTCCTGATGTTGAATGCTCACTCTCTCACTAACTGTATGACTTTAGATAATTAACTAATTTTTGCTGAGTCAGGTACCCTTCATTTGTAAAATTAGATCATCATAAGAACGGCTGCGATAGAATATAGTGACAAGAGTTCAATGTGATAATGGATAAGAAGATGCTTTAAAAACTGCAGTGCTCTGTACAAAGGATGATATTTGCTGTTTATTCCCTATATCTACCACTTCCTCTGAAACCAGGGCTGTTCTTAGTCAGGTCAATTCATAATGTGGTTTGGAAGATGCTATGCCTTTCTCATTCCAACAAACAAGCTTGCAGGGCTCAGCAGGGAAAGATGTTGACCTGGAGCTTCCTCTGCAGGGCGCCCTTCACCTCCTTGTTGCGGAGGCTATAGATGAAGGGGTTGAGCATGGGAATTATGACGGTGTAGAAGACAGACACTACTTGGCCACTGGTATCATCAGTGGGTCCATGAGGCTGGACATAGGTGAAAACCACGGTACCATAGAAAATGGTAATGGCCAGGAAGTGGGAGGCACATGTGGAGAGGGCCTTCTCCCTCCCAGCTGCTGAGCGCATCCTCCCAATGGCCACCAAGACCAAGCTGTAGGAGGTGAGGATGACTGCAGCAGGCAGAAGGGTAACCAGAGCAGAGAAGAGATAGAGGACCACTCCTGCTGCGGCTTTGCTGCCACAAACCAGGTGGAGAAGGGGTGGGATGTCACAGAAGTAGTGTGTTACCTGGTTGGGCCCACAGAAAGGCAAGGCGAAGACATTCCCAGTCTGGATAGAGGAGTTAATGCCACCAAATGCAGAGGAAGCAGCCACAAGCTGGAGACACATCCCTTTGGTCATGACAGAACCGTAATGGAGGGTTCGGCAGATGGCCATGAAGCGATCATAGGCCATGGAGGCCAGCAGGAAGCTCTCAGCTGTCACATGAACCACAAAGAAAGTCAGCTGGACCACACAGCCCTCAAAAGAGATGGACTTGTCAGATGCCAGAAAGTTGATTAACAGCTTGGGTGTAACCACAGAAGAGTAACAGATATCAAGAAAAGAGAGGACACTGAGGAAGAAATACATGGGGCTATGGAGACGGGAGTCCGTGAAGATGAGTACCATCATTCCCAGATTGCCCACCACTGTCACGGTATAGATGAGCAGGAAGACTCCAAAAAGAAGCTCCTGGAGGTCTGCATAATTGGAGAATCCCAACAAGATGAACTGGGTAACTGGGGTGTGGTTGCTACTGGCAAGGGCTAGTTCTCCAGGTGTCATCTGCAGAGGAGACAATTGAAAATCACTCAAACAGTATTACTTGAGCATGCCCACCACCGTGCGAGGTGTGGTGAGGGAGAACACCAAACAAGTATAAGGCTTCTTCTAGAAGAAGCTAATGGGAAGTATCATGCCATAGTGGTAGGACATGGGCTGTGAAGCCAGGCAGATCCTAGTCTCTTTTTTTTTTAAAGATTGGCACCTGAGGGGCCAGCCCAGTGGTGCAGTGGTTAAATTTGCACGTTTCCCTTCCGCAGTCTGGGGTTTGCTGGTTCGGATCCCAGGTGCGGACATGGCACTGCTGAGCAAGCCATGCTGTGGCAGGCATCCCACATAAAATAGAGAAAGATGGGCATGGATGTTAGCTCAGGGCCAGTCTTCCTCAGCAAAAAGAGGAGGATTGGTGGCAGATGTTAGCTCAGGTGCCAATCTTTTTTTTCTTCTTCTTCTTCTCCCCAAAACCCCCCAGTACATAGTTGTATATTCTAGTTGTAGGTCCTTCTGGTTGTGCTATGTGGGACGCTGCCTCAGCATGGCCTGATGAGCAGTGCCATGTCCCCGCCCAGGATCCGAACCGGCAAAACCCTGGACCACCAAAGCGCAGCGTGTGGACTTAACCACTTGGCCCCGGGGTCAGCCCCAGATCCGAGTCTTAATTCTGACTATGGTACAACAAGTTATGTATCCTTGGTAAGCTATATCTATGAGCCTTAGTTTTCTCATCTGTGAAATGAAGAAAATATGCCTACTTCTCAAGGTTGCTCAGTGGCTTAAATAAAACAAATGAATGTAAAATATCTGCATGTCTGGGACACTGTAGGTGATCAATGTGAAACCTCTTCCCCAATCTCTTGCACCTGTATCTATAAATATGCTCATGACTCTATTTGACAACTATTTCATTATGTCTTTTTAAAAATCAAGATTGAATTTACATACCATAAAATTCACCATTTTAAAGTGTACAATTCTGTGGTTATTAGTATGCTCACAAGGTTGTGCAACCATTCCCACTATTTAATTGCAGCACAGTTTCATCACCCAAAAAAGAAAACCCCATACCCATTAGTAGTCACTCCCCATTCTCCCCTTCCCCCAGCCCCTGGCAACCATTAATCTACTTTCCGTCTCTATGGATTTCCCTGTTCTGGACATTTCATATAAATGGATTCATATAATATATGGCCTTTTGTGTCTGGCTTCTTTCACTTAATGCTTTCAGCCTCATCCATGTTGTAGCATATATCAGTATTTATTCTGTCTTGTATTTAAGTATCCTTCAGGGCATCCTCTCCTCTGTTTCATAACCGTATTGTCCTCTGAGAATCAATTGAATTGAATGTCACTAAGAGACCATCAGCTTGGAAATGGTGTTCGAGTGCTTGCTTGACTGTCCTCCAAGATGTTTATCCATAGGAGGACTGGAAATGCCCAGAGTCCTTTCCTTTCTCTCCACACTTCCCTCTCTCTTCTGCCCCTTATCTCCCTCCTCTTTGAGCATCTGGGCTACATCTTGAAAATCAGTCGTAGGAAAACCTCACCAACCTCTTCATCCAAACAGTTTATGTAGAGGACAAAGAGGAAATGTGTTGTCACATTGCAGAAGAACATAGAACAGCCTCACTTTCGTGCACACCCATTGCACCAGACACAAGGTATGGCAGAAAGAGCACTAGACTGACCGAATGGAGACCTGCTTTCTAGTTCTGACTCTGTTGCCTATTAGCTCTGTTACTTTGGGCAGTTCTCCTCTCTCCGGGCCTCTGACTCCTCGATGACAAAGTCAAGATCTGCTTTGTAAGATCTCTGAGGTCTTGCCTGGTCCTGACAATCTGACAGTGAGTGAATGCATCTTCCCCACACTTGCTGTCTGGGTATGGATCTTTGTGCCAGTGTAGTCCTGGGCAACACAAAAAGAATCCATGTGAATTTGTCCAGAAAAACGACGTTGTATACCTGATGGTAACAGACAGTTTTAGGAGGGTCAACCCAGCTCACAAGAATCTATTTAAGTACTTTGGCCACTCATAGCAGTGATCCCTGGCAAATATTTTGTACATGAAGTAGGAAGTTCTGAGCAACCTTGTTAACACAGATGAATGGATGGGAATACAAGCAGTTTTGTTTTAGTAATGCCGTTCTATTCATTGACTTCCTTCTTAGTTAATGCCAAGAATCACATGGTATGTTTCATCAAAAATTATGTTTAATGCTCCATCATTTGTCAATTTGAAAAGATCCTCCCTCCATTTTGTTGAAACATTTCCATCTGACTTAAAAAGAATTTTATAGGCAGTCATTAAAGTCATTTACTTTTTCAACACCTACCTATTTATGAAATTACCTCTTTGTGTGGTATCCTGGAAGTTTTGTATGCTGGTGAAATGCCTCATGCTAAGATTCAGAATGGGTCAGAATCATGTATTTCTTTTCAAAAATGGGAGAATGGCAATTGAGAAGAGGGAGATGAAAAAGGAGTACAGTACTTCCATCACAGAAGCATTTTCAAGGCCGTTGGTTTTAAGAAAGAGTAGATACACACATTGAGGTACTGGAAATTGGGTCCCTTTAAAATAGTTTTGCCTGTAAATCCCTTGAAAACTCTTCACGTCACCCTCAGGAGCACACAATCCTAGTTTGAAGACTGTGGCCTTAGCAGAACTAGTCTGCTCCAGGATGTTGCCTTCTGCCCTGCTGCCTCTCCTTTTTCTCTGAGCTGGGCTTCAGATTATGGGACTGTAGGAGAATCCACTGGAACACTCATGCCTTTCACAGACCTTCTGTTTGTAGTAAAGGTCAGAATACGCAACCCCAAAAGTCAGGGTCCTAGTGGTCAGGACAGAATCCTATCACATGATTCAGTCGTAAAGTTTAACTAGCAAAGTCAACTTTGTGCCCTGACTCCAGTTTCTCCACTCAGCCTGAGCTCCTGGATCCTGCTCTCCAATAAATGAGGTTTCTTGTCCTCCTCCCAACTCTCCCTCTCTCACCAGCTTCCCATTGTCCAGACTGCATTCCGTCCTAATCCTCTACTACTTCCATCCCAACTCCCAAATGGCCAGTCAGTTCCTTCAGAGGCACGACATTCAATAATTCTTGATTGTGGTGACATTGACTTACAGACTTACAGATGTACTCTGAGCCTCTCAGTTTGCAAAGGACCTCCAGATTTCCTCCTTAAATCCCGCAAAGCCATCCCTCAGCCCTCCTAGTCAGCCTTCCTTACCCAACTGAATTCTCATTTTGTATGCTGTTGTAATCTGGCAGTTGAATTTTACTCACACAGATGTATTTAGAATTGTTTAACAGGGCTTTGTCATTGTTTCCAGTCTTTCTTTCCCTCCATTGGATTGTTTTGCTTCCTTATCACATTTTAACTTCTGAAAGCAGAGCCTTGTTTTGTATCAAGTGAACAGCAAATACTTGAACAGCTACTGTTATCCAAAAGTATTTGAACAATTGAGGTTATTCAAAGTACTTAAACAATTACAGTTGTTTAAAGTGTTTAAACAACTACTGTTCAAAATATCGTGAGACATGTCTTTGGCCATTTAGGGTCTGAAATTTTGTTCAGAGACAAACTTACCCCCATGAAACAAGAGTGAAGTTGAGTGGTACCTGCTCGGCAGTAGGAACGCACTGGAGTCATCTGGGAAGGCTTCAGCAAGAGGAGGCACAGGCTGGGCCATGAAGAACGAGGAAGGTGAGGCTAGGTAGAGGAGATGGGGAAGTGCAACAGCCTGGATGTGGAAATTAATCTCCTTAGTAAATATTTACTAGGCAAAAGGTGCATTGAAAAGAGTCAGGAAACCTGGTAGAGTTACTCAATCTCTTTGAGCCTCTTTGAGTCCTCTGTGGGGACTGAAAAACAATATGTGTCAATGTCCTTTGCACACTTCTGGAAACAGGGTAGGCACTTGATATACACTAACTTCCATCCCACCACAAGTGAGATTATGTACACATAATGGATAGGAAGAGATTGCTTGGGACCCCTGAATGCAGTGGGATCTCAGGAAATGCTTAAAGGCTGACAGACTAGGGGATGGAGTGAGTGCGGATTTGAGGGGAAAAGAAGGAGAAGAGAACAGGTAAATTCAGATTTGTGAATCAGCTCTGGTAGAACTCAGTAGAATTTCCAATAGACAAATACCAACCTTAGCAGACGGTGCTCTCCGGCCTCGCACACCTCCAGTGGGGACGCAAGATCCTCTTAGCCCAGCCACTTGGGATGATTCTGGGACTCATTTGCACTCCAGTCTATGTCTTTCAGGTTCTCCTCCTTATATCTGTTTCTGGGGTGGCCACACATCCAGACCTGGTGATAAGGCACACAGCTCAAGCAAACAGAATGTGGTGCTCGGGACTGAAGCTGTGGGTGCATCCCAGTCCCATCAGAGTTTATAAAGCTAGCTCCATCTCCTCTTGATTGCAGGTGGCTTTGGAGGCTCAGAGCTCTGGGGAGGTCCTAGAAACACACCTACCCCTGTGTCCTCTCCTGCGGTCCTGTTCAGGCCTCAGGGAAGAAGAAATTATCCCCTGTTGATTATAGTCACTTGCTTTGGTCTTGAGGCAGAGGGAGGTGAGGGTCTCCTTGAGGAATTGGCACTTATGGTTCCATTCTTGCCAGCAGAATTCCTGTCTCCTCCCTGGATTCTGAAGTCTGGATGAAGAAAAGCCATCTTGCCCCTCCGGAGTTTGCAGGAACCTGGGGGACAGTTTGCCCAGCTATTCTGACTGAATGACCCAAGGGTCCATCTCTGCTGGACATTGAGGGCCTGGGCCCTAATACTGGTCAAACAAGTTGGTGACACCGAGTTCCACGGAGTGTGGGTCGAGCGCTAGGTAGGGGTGAGGCTAGGTTCCTTTTCTTGTGCTTTCTGTGTCTCAGCAGCAGTAGAGCACCAAGGGGAGTTGGGGGCACATGGGGCAGGGGTTCTGCCGCCTGACCCTCTCTAGGAAGCTCTCCTGGCTTCGGCCTCCAGGGAATCATCTGAGGAGAAACTGGGGACCTTGTTAATGGAATAAGTAGTTTATTTATATTAGCAACTTAAAAAATTATATTTTCAGAAATGAAACGAACTTCTAAGCGCAGCAAATGCCAATGGGCATATGGAGAAGCCAAGGGAATTGTTAACCAGAAGCAAAAATGCAAACTGATCATCTCCCAGTTGTGGCTCTTTCCCTCCTTTTCCTGTCTCTGACTGTGCTTTGTGGGCAGGTAGGGTGGGGGTAGCTTCCTCCCTATCCATTTGTCAGCTGACACTGCCGTCCTGAGACTGCATCATGTGGGGCTCAGCTGAGGCTACTGGATCAGGTGGTGGTTATGTTTCTGTGAATCACAGATTGTTTGAGCTAAAGGGAATTACAAGCATCTAACCCAGCGGGCTCTCAACTGAGATGTGATGGTGCAGCAGTGCTTCTGAGTCAGGACTGGCTCACCCAGTGGGAAGACCAGGAGCATGCTCAGGCACCAGCAAAGTAGAGGGATCAACATTAAAAAGAGGATATATTTGGACACTTAAAAAAAAGTACTAGGAAATGATAGGACATTAGGATTTGCTTTAAAATAATCTAGGTGGGTGCATGGGGAAAAATATGAAGGATCTTTGGAGACAATTGACAAGATCTGAATGTGAACTGAGGGTTAAATAATAGTACTCTATTGCTGGGAAATGTCCCAGTTTTGGTAGCCGTACTGGCTGTGTAAGAGAATGACCTATTCTTAGGAACTACTCACTGAAGTGTTTAGTGATAAATGGTTTGGAAAAGAATTTGTATATATATGAATATTCTGTGTATATATTATATACATATATATAAAATGGGATAAAATGAAAAGAATTGGTGATTCTGGATAAAGAGTATATAGAGTTCCTATACTATTCCTGCAAATTTAAAAATTATATTAAAATACTTTATAAATATGAAATATATCTAATTACATCAAAATAAAAAGGTAAAAAAAATCAGGGTGAGAGTAGTGGTGATGGTTGAGATGAAGCAAGAACTGCTATAAGTTGGTAATTGTTGAAGCTGAATGATAGGGTCATGGGAGTTAATTTATCATGCTGTTTTGTACATATTTGAACCCCTTAATAATAGTTTTATTTTTTTATTGAAATATATTTGACATGTAATGTGTAAATTTAAAGTGTAAAACATGTTGATTTGAACAATTTTATATTGTAGTATGATTGCCATTGTAGCAATAATTAGCACCTTTATGATGTCACATATTATCAGTTCTTTTTACTGGTTGGAGTAATTAGGATCTAGCCTCTTAGCAAGTTTGAATGTTATAATACAATATTGTTGCCTATATTCACTATCCTTCAGTATCCTGTGCATTAGATCTCTAGGACTTATTTACTACTTGATGCAAGTTTGTAGCTTTAATCAACACCTCTCCTATCCCCCAATTCCCCACCCCCTGGCAACCACTGTTTTACAAGTTTGGCTTTTTTAGATTCCACATATAAGTGATCTCAAAGAGTATTTGTCTTTCTCTGTCTGACTCTCTCTGTCACTTAGCATAATGTCCCCAGGGTCCACCTATGTTGTTGCAAATGCAGGATGTCCTTCTTTCTCATGGCTCAACAACATTCCATTGTATATAGACATCTTATATCTTCTTTATCCATTCATCCGGTGATAAGCACTTAGGTTTATTCCATATCTTGGCTATTGTGAATAGTGCTGCAATAAATCTGTGAGTGCATATTAATAATAATTTTTGAAAACATTAAAGCATCACAGAAATGTAAAAACTTTTTGCAATTCCTTTCACTTAGTTTACAGTATAAAATTCATAAGTAGAGTGGTCCGCACCGTAATTTTTCAGTTATCTTACAGGAAACAAAACTGATGTTCAAAGAAAGGAAATTGCTTACCCAGGGTCATGCAGCTGATTAGTTCTAGACCCAAAACTTCAACCCATGTCTCATGGGTCCCAGTCTACAAATCTTTACACAATGCCTTCATCCTCTTAAAAGGTGTTTGGTCGGTAATTTGGGATTAATAAGTGCATAGAACTTTCTATCTTGCCCTAAAAAGATGCCTCAGTACTTTCTGGCTTCACTTTTTGGAAATTTTTTAAAATTGAAAATTTAGAGATTAATATAATAAACATCCACCACTTTGACTTAATAAATGTAAATGTTTTTGCTATATATGCTTCAGATCTTTTTTTCAATCAGAAAAATAACACTTTAAAGGTCATTGAAATCCTCATGTATTTTATCCCAGTCCCATGCCTCTCCCTCCCTAGAGACAACCATTATCATAAATTTGATTTGTATCCTTTAGTCTATGAAAGCATAATTTTCAAAAAGATTAGGGGCCGGCCCGGTGGCACAGCGGTTAAGGGCGAATATTCTGTTTCGGCGGCCCAGGGTTTGCTGGTTGGGATGCCAGGTGGGGACGTGGCACCGCTTGGCAAGCCATGCTGTGGCAGGTGTCCCACATATAAAGTGGAGGAAGATGGGCACAGATGTTAGCTCAGGGCCAGTCTTTCTCAGCAAAAAGAGGAGGATTGGCAGCTGTTAGCTCAGGGCTGATCTTCCTGGGGGTGGCGAGGTGGGGGGGTGGGGGGTGGGGGGAGGTAGGGGGTTGGGGGTGGGGGGGAGGTGGGGGTGGGGGTGGGGGTGGCGGGGTGGAGGGGAGCCGGGAATTTAGAACTGTGATTCTCATGTAAATATAAAAGAAACACATATTAAAGAGTTTATTCAATTTATCAATGACGAAAACCATAAGATGTTAAGGCTGGTTCAAAGAGCATTTGAATGAATGGGTATTTATAAGCTATAAATGTAAAGAGTGAATGAAAGAAACTTAATTAACTTAAAAGAAAGTCAGAGGAAGACTGCTGGGCTAAATACCCAAGTGGTTCTTGTGCTGGATGGCAATAGACTGTCAACTTTGGGGCTATTTTCTCTATAAGACAGATATTATTTACATTTCTACTAGACAAAAGTCTGTAAGTTAACATGAAAGTTCATTAAGTCTGGAACTTTTAATCAATGGTAAACAGTGAGTCAAATCAGGTCCATTTTCCTAAGTAAATCCTTGGGCTGGCCTGTTAAACAATGCCTTAATATTGACATTGAAAGGACATACCACTCACCTTTTTCCATTGTTTCCAAGTTTTGGATAATTTTTCTTAGCAAGTCTGTATTTCTATATTTTACTACATATAGGAATCCATAAATAGTAATAGTAACTCCTATTTATTGGATTTTTATTTGTGCTCAGCACAGTTTTTTTAAGTCTGTTTTTAATAAAGTTATTTTATTGCGGTCATATTGGCTTACAACATTGTGTAAACTTCAGGTGTGCATCACTATATTTCAGTTTCTGTATAGACTTCGTGTGTTCACCACCTAAGTCCAGTTTTTATCTGTCACCGTACGTATGTGCCCCTTTACCCCCTTTGCCCTCCCCCCGACTCCCTTCTCCTCTGGTAACCGCTAATCTATTCTCCTTATCTATGTGTTAGTTTGTTTGACTTCCACATATGAGTGAGATCATACAGTACTTGTCTTCCTGGGTCTGAAATCATGTGGTATTTCTCTTCTCTGTCTGACTTATTTCTCTTAGCATAATGCCCTCAGGGTCCATCCATGTTGTCGCAAATGGCACAATTTTGTCTTGTTTTAATAGCTGATTAGTATTCCATTGTATGTATATACCACATCTTCTTTA